TGTGTGTGTGTGTTATGCATGTGTGTGCCCATGGAGGCCAGAAGAGGAAGGTACATTCCCTGGAGCTGGAGTTACATGTGGTTGGAGTTAAGGTAGCTCTGAGCCACCCCACATGGATGCTGGGAACTGAACTTGGAGGAATAGCAAGTGCTCTTAACCACGGAGCATCTCCCCAACTCCCAGTAACTCCTCTTTTGAACAACATTTTTGAACACGTATTTTATCACCAAATCCCCGACAAGCATTTCATTTTATTTTATTTACTCATTTCATTTGCTTGTTTGCCTGGGTCTTGTGTATCCCAGGTTGGCTTAAACTCATTGTATAGCAAAAGACCTGCTCCTCCACCTCCCCAGTGATAAAATCGCAGGCATATGCTATCACACCCAATTTTTCAGCACTAAGAATCAAACCCAGGGCTTTGAGATTTCTTTTTTAAATATATATACATATATATGTGTGTATGTATGTATATGTGTGTATGTATGTATATATGTATACACACATACATATACACACACATATTGTACATATACATACATACATACATCTATGAGGGTGTCAGATCCCCTGGAACTGAAGTTATAGACAGTTGTGAACTGCCATGTGTGTGCTGGTAATTGAATGCAGGTCCTCTGGAAGAACAGCCAATGCTCTTAATCACTGAGCCATCTCTCCAGCCCCCTGTAACTCCTTATTAAGTGAGAAGTCACAGGAGAATTTACTTTGTGTCTTTCCCCACTTCACTGAAGAGCCTTGATCTTTCAGAAGTAGGATACTGTAGGGCGGAATCAAGAGCTGAGTTTTAATGTTATTTCCTGCTCTCATATGAAGTCTCCAACTAAGCCTAAGTTTAAAGTAGATGGTCTCCAAAGCACATCCTCTGTAATATGTAACTCTAGGACTCCCTGTAGACCAACACAAAGTAGAAAGAGTAAAACCCCATTTTAAAAGAGAACCAGAAAACAGAGAGGGGGTGGGGGAGATAGAGAAACTGCATTAAGACATAGAGACAGCCTTGTGGTTGAGTGTAGACTCGTGTCTGAGTCCTATTTCCGCAAAATGCTGACCCTTGGAACCCTGGGCTGATTACTTAATTTTGCTAGAACTTTACTTCCTCCTCTGTAAAATGTGACAGGGATTACCTACTACTCTGGTCTGATGAGAAGATTAAATGAGATAATATATTGTAAAACCTGGAAGCTAATAGGGTGTTATGAACTTCTTTTCCTCCGGCCTAACTGTCATGGAATTAATAAGCAGATTAAAACTAAGCAGGGCATGAATGGAGACTATAAAACTCACTTACCTCTTCATGTGTTACTCCTCTAAACTGGTTATATATCACCCTAAGAGAAATACACCCTCCAGTGAGGTCCACAAATAGTTAATTCCAGGATCCCTACGTCCTCATGAATGACAAACAATGTAAGTGCTCATATCCCAGATAGAACACATCTTTGCCCTCACATAACCTATACATCCTACCCATATGCTTTGAATCATTTCTGTATCTCTTACAACACCTAATGTAGCGTGTATGCTCTGTAAAAAGCTGTTACACTGTATTGCTTATAGAATGATGCTAATACAGATACAACACTGTAACAATATCTGCATTGTTCAATACAGCTGCTTCTCCTTACCACGATCCCCAAGTATTTCTGCTGATGGTTGAATCTATGAATACAGAGCCCAGGGACACAGGAGGACAAATTCTCCCCCCAGAAAAATTCAGAGATGTGCTTCTCTCAGTATTCAAGGTATCAAGGAATCATGTGCTCATTTTAAAGTGAATTCTGAAGGTGTCTGACTATGTTTCATGGTACATTGGCAAGACCATGCCTGAGTTCACAGGCATACTCTACTGCCAATCATTACTCAATCATACTGAAAGCCTTCCTTCTGTTTTCAGATTACCAAGGAATAAAAGGAGATCCCACTAGAAGAGAGAAAGGAGAAAATCTTCCTGATCTTTGGGGTTTGTTTTCTTGTTTGTTTGTGCTGGGAGTGTGTCATGTAAGCACATGTGCATACACTTTGTGTGTGTGTGTGAGTGTGTGAGAGAGAGAGAGAGTATTGAGGTCCGGAGTTCATATCAGAAATCTTCCTCAGTCACTCTTTCATCTTACTGTTTGAGACCCAGAATTTGTAGATATGGCTAGTCCACCTAGCCCAATTGCTCCAGATTCCCTTGCTCTACCTTCTGATGCTGGAGTTACAAATATGGCTACCAAGCTTTTACATGGGTTATGAGTATCTGAACTCTAGTCCCTTTTCTCTTCCAACAATCACTTTTAACTTCTGAGCCATCCCCCCAGACCATCTTTTACTTTTATAAAAACCTTAGAATCACTAAACATAATACATTTCAGCCCTGTCACTTGACAGCGGTGATGATAAAGCAGTCTAGGGTTCAGGTCAGATGATCTGACCTGGAATCAGAATTCTGGGTTTCAAGTACAGGCTGTGTCTGTGTCTCGGTTTCTATGACCTGCACTTGGTCATTTCCTTCTTCCAAGGTCTTCAGTCACATAAGAAGATACAAATGACCTCTGAATTTGTGCACCTGGAGGCTAAAGTGTGAGCAATTTGAGAACCATAAGGCAATTGTCACGAGAAAAGTGTCACCAAGGTTCTTTGGATCCTTAGGATAAGTATACATGGCTGTGCCTATGATCCCAGCACTCAGGAAGCTGAGGCAGGATAAACATGAGTTTGAGATCAGACTCAGATACATAGTGAGGCCCTGTCAAGAACAAAAGACACAGAGAGAGAAGGAATGAGAAGGATGAAGGGAAGGAGAAAGAGAAAGACAGACAGACTCCTTTGGAGTTATAGCATCTGGGCTAACAAAGCACATTCACCTACCGACATCCATCGTTTCATCTTGTATGCTTAATTTGGTGGCTGCTGAAGGAAAATGCTAATGGACAACAGCGCCTATGGTACAGAATTAAGCACACAATATTTTTCCTGAATTATTTAGGAAGCTCTGAGCCAAATACATTAGACCCAGTAAATCCCTACCCAATACATTTCTCTCCCCCTTCCCTGGATACACTTAGTGTGCATTCACAGGAGGCTAAGCTCCCCATCAAACACATGAGGCACACTCACTCTCTGAACCTCCTGCACTGTCTTCTTCCCTTAAAACCACTTTCCAAGAAGGTCATGTGAAAGAGAGCGTTGAGAGAGACACTGACCAAATGGGCTGTTTCTCAACCAAACTCTCATCTGGGGAATTCTCTACAAGGCAGGAATGAAGATGGAGCTGGGCTGGGTGTTGCTACAGATGGTAGAACCAAAGGTGCTTTCCCAGATTGCCAAAGAGGCGCCCTGCATTGTTCCCAGAAACCAAATAGCTAGGATGCTTCAGTAGTGGTCCACACTTGAAAATGTCTTCCCTGTTGAAGTTTCCAAAGCCCTACTTTCATAGGAAGCCTATTCCCTCTGTGAACTAAGGCATCGCGGAGGTGACTCTACAGACTTTCAAGTGACTGGGGCCATCATCAGTGTCATTATTTGTGTTTAGATGCATCTCCATAGCAGCCCACATTCACAATGCACCTTGCAATTGTTTCTTAGTGATCGTCCTCACAAGATGTTTGGCAGGCAGAAAATGACAAGATTAACATTTCTGTATTGCCTAAAGGGGAACTAAGGTATGCAGAGATATGAAGTTAGCTGGCTGCTATCATTGTTCATACAAGACATATTTAGAGACATCCACACTTTGGTTCCAATCTGTTTTGGCACTTATTCTGCCTTCATTTAGAGTATCACTCATCTTTGACACCTGTTTATAAATACAACACGAGGAGGGACAGGCTGGGTAGCAGAACTGGAATTGGAGAATCTCCACATCAATAGAGCCAATAAACATTTAAGCAGCTCCATTATCTGTGGTGAAGCAGGACCAGAGGGGATACTTTATCCAACACACATAACATACTGTAGTCCCAGTACCATGCTTCCTTTTATCCCATGTTTCAGTGGCTTGCCTTTCTCCATTTGCCATTTTTTTTCTTTCCTTGTCTACCACCCACTTTCTTTATTTAAAATGTGAGTGGTTTTAATGCCAACTAGGAAAGCTGAAACTCTGATGTACTGAGAGTCAGGTGCTCTACCACCTGAACTGGACCAGCCTGAAGTACTGAAAATGTCTCTAATAAAGATGAGTGGGCAACACTGATTCCATGTCATATATAAGAACCCATGCCTTCCTTCCCCACAGCTTCCATTCCTGAGCTGAGCCACTGCCCCTCCCTGGCCTTTTTCCCTACCTTGTCTTTAGGTAGTGGGACAGGGTCACTTTACCATGACATGGCTGAGGCTGAGAGTTCTCCCCTGAAGCTGTCATCTCTGTGGGAAATGTGTTGACATTATTCAAAGGAGTAAGAGAACCCAGATCTTTATGGTCAATGTCCCTTTTATCACCTCTGCCCTCTAATCATAAGGCTCTCATTCCATACTCGGATTGCTGACTGACTTACTCAAGCAAAGCTTTCTCTTCAGAGAGGAGGGATAAACCTCATTTTCCCTCAAATGTCATGCCTTAGCTGCCAATTATCCTGCCCAGATTCAGTCCTGGAGCACAATAAACAAATTAGGTCAAACACAAAGTATACCCCTGAAGCTCCCATCCTACTCAGTCTAGCCCTCTGATTTGAGGATTTCTGCTGTCCTCTTCCACCAAAAGCTCTGAGAGTCCTGGTGAACTTCCTGTTGCTCTTCCCCTTTTTGTGAAACTACATGTTTATAATCATATGGAACAAGCAATAAATAGATAAATCAAGTCAACAGCCATTGGAAGTTTTGCAAACAACATCATTACCAAGAGTATAAACTGTGTTTTGTGCCAGTATCAAGCTGAGTGGACAGAGAAAGATACAAAGCAGAATTATCCCTGTAAATTCCCAGTGACACACTGGTGGCCACACCTTCTTGAGGAAGATGATTATAAAAGGCAGAGAAGCCTGACTCAGGCACAGTCTTCAGGGCAGAGAGGGAGTCACCTCATTGGCGCTTGAGTCGGCAAAGGTATTGTCCTTTTCCTATCTGGGCTATGAAGATTGCCTTTTGTTTGCTCCTTGACTGTCTTCTCTCGAGGCACCCTCTGTAAAGCTATGGTTTGTTTTCTTTCCTTCTCTTGTTCCTGATTTGGTGTGTGAGATGGAACTGTAGATTTCAGAGAACTCTCTTTCTAGTGATAAGGACCTGAGGGGGTAGCTGAACAAGATTCCTGGAAGGGAATACATCAATCAGTACAGCCTAATCTTTTCCTGGAGATAGGAAATCTCTACCAACAAAAATGAGAGAGATATGCCGGCTCCCATTCTGTATCTCCCTCACCTCTATAGAGGGCAGATACCTCATGCAGATGGTTTTCCTTTTTTTTTTTTTTCTTCCTTATTCTATGACCCTTTTATTAAATGCCTACTATGTGTGATGGAATGGGCTGGACACAAAGAATACCAAGATAGAGAAAACATTCTAAAGCAAATGTACAAGTTATGTAGAGGAGACCAAATCATACACAAATAATGTAAGGGAGTATGAAGAAGAATAGAGGAAATGCTGGGCATGTGATAAGTCAGTCATTCATTGTAGTTTCTCAAGAAGAGCAAAGTAGGCTCACTGCCCTTGCAAGCACAGGGTTCTGAGGTAGAGAGTTGACCGCCACAGCTGTTCTTTTGCAGAAGTCAAGATGGCCAAAGTTCCTGACTTGTTTGAAGACCTGAAAAACTGTTACAGGTAAGAAACACATTCTACTTTTTGTGAATCAATGACTCCAACTAGGTGTCAAAGTGGCCAGTCACGGGCCATGTTGTCAGAGGCTCTGTAGATATACACTGGCCTTGGAGTCCAGGCAAGACCAGAGAAGAGCTAGGACAAGGCATCCAGCATGCTAAAGTGGTTATTTCTCTGACAGAAATGGGAATTTAGAAAAATATTTGTGAGGCAGACTACTTAATCCTACATAATCTTATATCAACATCAACTCAGGCACTCAAAAGAGTTTGTGTGTTCTGTACGGCAGCAGCTTTTAATGAACTGTTTGAGATAGAATTTCATTCTTGGGAGAACCTGCTCCCAGTAGAGAGGAGGAAACAGCTCTTAGGCGCATGAACTCACACCCACAGTCAAACTTCACCCTGATACAGAAGATAAATGAGCAGAGCTGAAACTCTATCTTAAATAACAAGATGTTCTTGTTGTTTACAATTAATGTTAATGCTAATGATGCTACAAACTAGTGCTTGCATACTGCTAAATATGGAATTCGTTTTAGTGAGTATGTGAAAACAGTATATGGCAACATGTGTCTGAAGTGCTTCAAAAGTTTTTCTTTTCTTTTATCAGCTTCAGCCTTTCATGAAGTTCAATTAAGGCTCTTTGATTGATTAGCCATGCCTAATTTTTACAGATAAAGTGCAAACCTGTTCTAATAATTACTAATTCCAAAGTAATGACAAATGAATTACTATGTGTATAGACATGAATATGTAGAAGTCTAACTTTTCAAAGAGTAATGGGGTGTGTGTGTGTGTGTGTGTGTGTGTGTGTGTGTGTGTGTGCCCAAGTTACTGTAGAGCTTACTCTCATCCTGAATGGGATCAAGTTCTCCTAAGAATGGAGTAACTCTTAAACAGCCACTAAGACCCACTGCTTTGTTAGAGCATTCAGACTCAATAATGCCTGTGTCTAAATCAGTATTCAGGAATGTTGTCTGTATTACCCAAAGTTAATGTGGTCATTAATGTATGATGCTTACCGGTTTAGTAAAATGATGACCAAAAATACAGTCTCCTTATATGTTTCTGACAGTGAAAATGAAGAATACAATTCTGCCATTGACCATCTCTCTCTGAGTCAGGTAAGCATATGATTATCATTCTTATAGATCTGGATTTTCTTTCTTCTTCTTCTCCTCCTCCTCCTCTTCCTTCTACTCCTTCTCCTCCTCCACCTTCTCCTCCTTCTCCTCTTCCTTTTCCTCCTTCTCCTCTTCCTTCTCCTCCTCCTCCGCCTTCTCCTCCTTCTCTTCTTCTTCTCCTTCTTCTCCTTCTTCTTCTCCTTCTTCTCCTTCTCCTTCTCCTCCTCCTCCTCCTTCTTCTTCACTAGTTCCTCTACCAGAAAGGCACAATAAAGATTGAGCATTATATGCTTTTGTTAAAGATCTAAGATATCTTTATTTATTATTAGTGAAACCACTTGCCTCTCTATACTAGTAATTAACTAGCATTCTTTATGCTCATTGACTCTTCCATAACAGAGAAGAGCTATCTGAAGCCCTAAGAACTTCTGGGCCAGGCTCCTTCAAAATATTAGTTTCGTCATCCTTAGCCAGTTGCTTCAATCCACTTCACCTGGACTCTTGTCTCCTAACATGCTATGTTGATGTCACTCTCTGACACTAACACCAGAGGTTAGAGATAGTTCACAGAGCTGAGGAAGCTAGCTAAGAGAAAGAGAAAATGTTGCACACACTCAGCAAGTTATTTTGTGTATCTGTGATACCTGTTTTAAAAGCTGCTTCCAGAAAAATAGCCATACTGAAGGTATCCATGGGTGCTTGACTGCAAGCCCCCCTCCCCCAGGGAAAATCACCTCCTGCAGATGTTCAAGTCCTTTATATTAAGTGACCCTCTATTTGTATAAAATATACATATATTCTCAAATGACTTTAAAACATATCTAGGTGACTTAACCACACCTGCCACTATGTGAATGCTATAGGAATAATTGTTATACTTATGAATCAGTGATTATATTATTTAGGAAGTAACGGCAGAAAGAGTTACATGTTCAGTACAGATGTCATTTAGTTTTAAAAAATATTTCGAACCTTAAGGTTGGTTGAATTTGAGCAGGCAATACAGAGGGCCAAAAGTATTTAAATATTTTGAGCACGCTCGAGTAGATGCCAGACCTCTTGATGGAAAGATCTCACTCACCAGGATCATATGCTAACCTATTTTATTAAAGTGTCTTATTTTTGAGCCTGAAAAGACCTCCCCCTGCCAACCATATGGTTTCAGGGAAATCCAAGGAAAGAAAAAGAGGGAATGGAGCAGAAAGGAAGGAAGGGTGGTGGAAGATGTGGGGGGGGGGGATGAAGCACAGGTTAGTTCCCTGCAACCAGAATGTAGACCCCTCTCACTAAGTCTGTAGGATACAGACTCTACTAAAGAGTCTCATCATGAGGTCATAGGTAACCTCTCAGGTGCCACTTCCCTTCCTTACAGAAATCCTTCTATGATACAAGCTATGGCTCACTTCATGAGGATTGCACGGATAAATATGTATCTCTGAGCACCTCTGAAACCTCAAAGATGTCCAACTTCACCTTCGAGGAAAGCCTAATGATGGTGGCAGCATCATCAGACAAAGGGAAGATTCTGAAGAAGAGAAGGCTGGGTTTCAATCAGGCCTTTGCTGAAGATGATCTGGAGGCCATAACCCGAAATTTAGAAGGTAAGTGATAAAACATAACAAAATCCAATTTTTCAGTTTTAAGCAAATGATGACAATGAAGTATAAAGAAAATAAATCTTGGAACCAAAATAGTAGGAAGTAACCAGATATTAGATCAATAACTGTAACAAAGAAAACTTAAATGTTGCTCTTCTTCAGAGGGCAGAGATCAATGGTAGCCTGAGTCTAGAACAGTTGCTCAAGGGCTCCTTTCTTGACTGCCTTGTAAAAGTCATCCAAAGGTCTTTGGTTGGAGAGAAAGCAGTCATAGTCCATTAGCTCATGACCTCTATTAGGTGCCACCTCCTTAGTCATGTTCCCCCATCTCTCTGGGCTTCAGTTCCCCATATTGTGAATAGAGATGACCAAGTCTTACACCTCACTGGGTTCCTGTAAAGATTAAAGAAGCCAATACCTCAAAACATTTAGACTAGAAGAATGTCTAATGTGAAGTCACCACCCAAGAAATGTTAGCCATTGTTACTACTCCCATTGCCTTTGTAACTGATGCAACACTACTAATTTATTGATCTCTGCATTCTCCATAGGCTCAAAACAACCTTCCCTCTCCTTTTTTACATATGAGGAAATGAGGCTCCGCCTCTATGTGGAAACCCTCACAGCTAATTTGGTCCACTATGACTATGAGAACCCTGGTTTTGTCTTTTATGTCTTGGCTATGCATTCCTCCACAAGAAAATAAACCAAGTACTCATTTTAATATAAAACCTAGACAACAATACCTCTCCACCTAGAAAGTTTTAAAATTAAATAAAGTAGAAGAAAGAACATTGACATTCATTTTTGCCACCCAGATTTTAACCCTACCAACACCAGAGAATGGTTCTTAAAAGACTTTTGTGCATACAGATACACACTAGAGGAAACATGTCCAACATCATCATTGGTATACTACACACAATCTCATATCTAGCTTTCTTTCATTCAATATTTTACAGGAAGATTTTCAACACTGAAGTGTCAATAAACATCTATGTCAATTTCTGTCACCATTCATTCCTTTAGAATAGCATCCTAGAAGTGAAATTAGCCAGAACCTGGAGGTTCATGAAGCTACACATACACTTTCCAGGAAGACGGTAGACCTGTACCTTCAGTACATATATATGTAACATACATATTATTTATAGATAAGGGGACATATCATTGTGGTATATGATTTTTAACACAATTACTTTTATCTTAGCATACATTCATCTGAAAAATATAGATTGGGAAGACTGGAAGTCTTCCACATCATTTGGAAACCTGCTAACAGGGCCAGTCATAGATGGCTAACACCTTTAATCCCAGTGGGAGGCAGAGGAAAGAGACTCTCTGAGAGTCCGAGACTATTCTTATCTATAGAGTGAATTCCAAGCCAGCAGGGTTCTAAATATTGAGAAAAAGAAAAGAAAATAGCTAACAAAAATGCAAAAGTTTCTCAAGAACTCTTTTAAAAGGTACAATAAAATTCATCTGATGAATTGGTTTATAAAAACAAAATTAAGAAATAACCATAACAAGAAACCCTAACTGGAATCAAGCCTTCTGCTGGTTGATTTCAACTCTGGCTGTTTCACCTGGATTGGTTACCCCTACAATCCCTCTCAGAGCTACATATGATGCTTGGATTAGCAAGTGTACATCATCTATATTTGTAACTAAGCAATAACCTGAACTTGTGGTCATGATCCTAGAGACCATCCAATCAGATTCAGCACCTCACCTCTTCCAGAGCAATGTGAAATACAGACTCATAAGGCGTGTCAAGCAGGAGTTCGTCCTGAATGACTCCCTCAATCAAAACATATATCTGGATGCGGACAAGGTGCATCTCAAAGCTGCTTCGTTAACTGACTTGCAACATGAAGGTAAATGACCACCCTGTCAATCCTCCCCCCTTTTTGGGTTTCTTTGCTTCTTCCAAATTTTCTGCTTTCAAAGCACAAACTAATCTATCTCCCTGGCTTTGAACAATTCTTCTAGAACAGAATGAAGCATCCCACCCCCCACCAAGAATCCCTGGAAAGGACAGAATATCATCCCTGAGTTCCCCCAGAGAGCAGTTTCCTATCTGAGTTCACTATATTATATGGGACAGAGAACTTTCAGATGTACCATCTCTTGGGTGCTTATAGACATTCTCAACATAACCTCCCTGTGCTAATTTTAAAGAAGAGAAAACTGAATGTTGCAAATATTTAATGACTTACCCAGAAGTAACAAGACACAGTCAGTCACTATCTGTTAGAAAGCTGATGGTTGAACTTAAAACTAGCGTTCAGCTAGGAAGAGCTTGCTAATACGATGGGAAAGCCACACAGCCCCTAACTGCAATGGGGTCTGAAGGACTAAATTCGGGGTCCAAAATTTCCTGTTGTATAAATCCAACTTTTATAATAAACCTGTTTTAGATGCAATATACAAAGTTATTTTTAAAGAGCCACAGCAGCAACTAACTTTATAATAAGCAGGCAGGGTTCTTTCTGATTAGAGACCCCATACATACATGAGTTACCATGTTCAGTTCAAATACTCAGCTGTTTGCGAGCACTCAGGGAAAGACCACGGTCTATACCCAGGACTTTTGCAAATTGTTGTGTATCCTGTTTTCTACTTACCACATCATTTCCCCTACATACTGACTTAGTCTACACATTTTCTACACACACACACACACACACACACACACACACACACACTATCTGTCTATCTAAAAACTTGTTTTATATTTTAAACAAATAGTGGATTTACTTTCTTTCTGGCTTTTTCTTTCACAGTAAAATTTGACATGTATGCCTACTCATCAGGAGACGACTCTAAATATCCTGTTACTCTAAAAATCTCAAATACTCAGCTGTTTGTGAGTGCTCAAGGTGAAGACCTGCCTGTGTTGTTGAAGGTCAGTTGACTTCCATGTTAAACTTGCCGTCATCTACTGTTTTGAAGTAAGCAGATGTCCCCCACAGGGTGGCCACAGTCTCCTTCATGCCAGTCACCACATGCTCGGCTTTCCCTCCCTGACTGTATTTGCCTCCCACCCCAGAGCATCCATTTGTTCTGTTGATCTTTACTGATTTGAATGGTACTGGGCATTATGAGAACAGGGCAAGCTTCAAACACTACTCAGACACACCCACTGAGATCAGAGAGGGTTAACTACTTGCTAACACCCGTAAAGCCAAAAGCTAAGAGCCACAACACTCAAACATTTGCTTTCTCACTCCAGTGGTCTGTTGGTGATACTGTTGTCCCTCATCCCATCTCCATGTTCTCTACAGCCATCTCCCTCAAACACACACACACACACACACACACACACACACACACACACACACACACACACATTTAAGCATTAGACATTTTTACCATGGAGAAGAATGTGACTCTCATTCAGTAAATGTAGAATTCAATGCCTCCAATTTCCACCTAAAATGTATGTGGGCAGCTGTATTTCTGTCTTAATCAAATAAAATGATAGTGTTATCTACTGTCGCTTCAGTCACAAATTCATTCAACAAGCCATTATTTGCCAAGAACCTTCTCTTTTTCAAGTACAGCATTAAAAGCTGTGGAGAATGGCAAGCCGAAATCCCTAACCCTATGGGACATAGTACTCTAGTACACAGACAATAGCTAAGTCAAATAGAGAACAACAAAAAAGGAAAATGTTGATCAGAAAATGCACAAGGTACTAAGAGAGAAAATGGCAGTGTTATTTAGAGGAAGGGACAAAAGCAGAGCTCCCAGAGAGGCAAGACAGACTGATAAGAGAGGGATGGTCAATCTACACCTATAAGGGTCTGTGTTCCCTAGCACTTCTTGAGCCCACGGGCCAGCAGCACGCATCAGCAGTCATTTGACATACAATTGAAAGTCACTAAAGGGTTTCACACAGTGTAAGAGGCTGATATCAGTTACATTTCTTAAGTGGACAAAAGTCTAGAAGGAAAGCACTAGCATAAGCAAAGAGCTCTGCTGGGAAGCTATAGGTGAAGCGTGGCAGGAGGATGAGGTGAACACGCAGAAGGGAACAGACCTTGTATAGTCATCTAGAGGCACAGCAAGGAAAGGGATGAGCGGGTATGGAAGGTCAGTGTGATGTTGAAACCCCAAGATGATCAGTTTATTTACTTGTAGATTGAAGAGAATCCAAGCAAGAGTCTTAACAGACACAGAATTTGAAACATATTTTTCCATGAAGATTATTTTCAGAGTTTATTCGTACTCGGGGGTTATGTTCAACACCGTCAGCAACTAATCCATCAGGGAAGCACTGTAGGGTTCAGTTATTTCTTTTTATGTGTATGGATATGGTTAACTTTCAGATTTTGGCTGAAATGTAGAGATAAGCATCATCTCAGTGCTCTACTGTTTCCAGAGAGGTGTAATGTATATGCTGGGGGTGGGGGAATGTTTAGGGTCTTAGAATCATCAGTGTTCAGATTTGGTTCACCCAGTGCCAGCATTTAAAACAGGATACACACATGCAGTGCTTTGCCCCAATTGTCTGGATACAGGGAGATGCTGTTATCATTGGCAGTCTTCATGATTCATCTATATTTCTCTCCAATTAACTAAGGAAATTAAGTCATGAATAGTCTGGGCCATACATCGAATAGGCATGACATAAATGTTGAGTGAACACATGAAGGAGCCTGGCTCATGTCTGAGTCAGGCTTCTAGACTGCTGCTTTTCATGAAGGCCACACACCAGAGGGTGACACTTCAGTTTTTTTCCAACACCTTCTTGTGCACTAACAGAATTCTGTTTTGCTTATCACAGGAGATGCCTGAGATACCAAAAGTCATCACAGGGAGTGAGACAGACCTCATTTTCTTCTGGAAAATGGTCAACTCAAAGAACTACTTCACATCAGCTGTTTATCCAGAGCTGTTTATTGCCACAAAAGAACAAAGCCATGTGCACCTGGCAAGGGGACTGCCCTCGATGACAGACTTCCAGATCTCATAAGAGCGGCCTTATCTCCGGGGTCCACTTACTTGAGAAGTGCTGACAATCTGTATGTACCATGTACAGGAAGGTTCTTCACCCTGAGTCACTTGCACGGCATGTGCTGAGCCTTTGTAATTCTAAATGAATGTTTACCCTCTTTGTGAGAGAAGAGCAAAGCCTAATGGAATCAACTCCGACATATAATGTTGTTATTTAAAGAGCACCCTATACTTTGCACAGTACTAATCACTTTAATTGTTATTCTTCATGACATTCTTAGGAGGAACAGAGCTGTTGTGATCAAAAAAGACTCTACCCATATTACAGATGGATTAACTACAGCATAAGACAGCTAAAAAGTACACTCAACAGCAGTTGGAAAGAGAGTCCACAGACCCACTATGTCTGCTTCCAAAATTGCTGACTGAGTAGGATAAAATTATAATTCTATCAGTTTTAAAAGGAAGGGGACAATAGTTACATCTTTCCTACCTCAGCAGGTTTTATTCCAATGAGATCATTGGGATGAAATCCTTCTGTAACAAACCTCAAGAAGACAGAATGCTGAATGCTATTTTTAAGTTATTTTATATATGTATTTATAAGTGTATTTATAATAATTATATTATTTATGGCACATCCTTAAGTCCTCTGAGCTTGACCAGTGTCCTCAGCAGCAGGGCATTCTGGGTGAAGTCAGTTAGACGTAGCTACTCCATAACATCATGTTGCAGACATGCTTTTTCCACAGCCATGAAGCTCTCTACATTCTCTTACTTGGGAATCCTGTAATTAGGCCAAGAATTGGTATTGTTTACTTTGTTTGTTTAAGAGGACAATTGGGCCACTCTTTCACCCTTCTGTCCCTGAAGTTGTCTGGGCATTCTTACATTATTCAACCTCACCTGTAATTAAATCCAACAATCCAAAGATGGAAAGATCTTAACTGTGACAACCGCATCACTGTTACTTGAAGTTTCCTATCTAGAATATAATCAGTGTTTCCTCTGGGTTCCAAATTTATTCTCAAACCACAGTGTCACATGAGTATTAACAATAATAATCAGTGCATTATTGTTGATCATAATTAAATAAAACAAGTTTGAGCTGACATATATTTGCTTGGGTTTTGCAATGGGATGGTTGTTTGTTGTCAGACTTCCTTTGGACCACCAGCTCCCAAATAATGACATGAGACTTGGCCTTAGCTTAGGCTTCTTGCCAACAAGATCATATAACTTAACCCATTTATATTAATCTACATTCTTCTACGTGGCTTGTTACCTCTCCTCCATACTGTACATCCATCTTCAACCTCTCTTCTTCTCAGAGTATCTCTTCCAGAAGTGTGCCTACCCTCTCCTGCCTATATATTGGCTGTTCAGCTCTTTATTAAACCAATCAGAAGGTTCCTTGATACATATATACATATATGTGTGTATATATATGTATATATGTGTGTGTGTGTATATATATATATGTGTGTGTGTATATGTATGTATATATACATACATACATACATACAGTGAAGGGGTTGTTTTGTATTTGTTGTCTTCATTACCTCACTGTTAGGAGAAACTAGTTAGACATTCACATAATTCACCAGTTAATGTCACTTCACAAAACCAGAAAAACCAGGTTCCCACACAGCTCTAAAGAGATGTCTCCACCAAGCCCCTTCTCTCGGAGTTCAGTGAGCCCCACTGAAGTGGAGGCAGGACCTGGAAGACAGAAGGTGGAGGACGTCAGAAGAACAAGGCCCTCTCAAACAAATGAGCGAAGCTAATATAATTTAGGGTGTCAGACCCCACGGAACCAGAGTTACAGGCAGTTTTGAGTTGCCTGACATGAATACAGGGAACCAACTCTGGCTGCCGGCAAAAGCAGTACACGCTCTCAATTCTGAGCCACCTCATCACTTTAGATCATATTAAAGTCAACAACCAGAAAACTTTCATGATCTTTTTTTCCTCCCTTCAAACACTCACCTAATTATGCTGGTGGTTCTGTCTTTCTTTCTTTCTTTCTTTCTTCCTTTCTCTCTCTTTTATCCTTGATTCTTTTTTCTTCCTAGTGGGCTTCTGTTAGCATTTTAACTTTACCTTGTTGATGTTATTCTGTTTAAACAAGCTGTTATGTTTCCATGTTTTACTTCCATTCTTGGATTCATCTAATTTTCGTTAATTTTCTCATTATTGGGAAATCTTTTTGTTTGTTTGTTTGTTTGTTTGAACTCTTCTAACCCTCCATAACATTCTTCTCCACTCCTCGACGTCTTTTTCCTCTTTTCTTTAATCTCTGAATGTGTTTCTGAGAACATTTCCAGAAACAATTTGTCCTTGGCTTAATCAATGGAGTGATACTTCAGTGATTGTGTGATGTGATGGCATTGCTGGGAGCTGGTGAAAGGTAGTAGGTGGTGGCCTAGTTGAATGAGCTAGGTTGTTAAAGGGTTACATCACTGGGGGCTCTGTCTTGCCCTGGCATATTCCTCTACTCCTTCCTCTGCTTCCTGTCCATAAAGAGGTAAAGAACAGCCTCAGCCACATATTCCCTCTGACAGAATGTTCTGCCCAAGTGAAGGGACCAAGCAACCCCGGCTTGAACCATCTGAAACCATAAGCCAGAGTAAGTCTTTCTGAACGTGTTTCATTCGGGTATTTGGCCACAGAATGAAGACGATGAGTACTAAGGACTACTTTCATTTGGCATGATATTATGTGGCACTGTTTCTCCCCGTCTGTCTAACTGTCATGACTGCCCTGAAGTGGTTACAATAAGCTCTACTTTTTTGCACGCCTGTCAGCTCTCGCCTCGCCCACCGGCTCCAGCCCAGGGACGCAGCAGCGGAAGTGACCCGGCCACTGGGCCGACCTTCTCGGAGACTGTCCCCGCCCCTCACGATCCTCCAATCGCAGAGCCTCGAGGAGGCCCGGGGCCCAACCGAAAGGCGCCCATTTCCCGTTGTCCCGCCATCTCTGCCTTCCGGTTGGCGAATTTCAAAGTCGCGGAACCAATGGGAGCGTGCGGACGCGCCCCGGGTTATCGGTCCAGAACAGGGCGCTTCTTTTGAAGACAGAAACTGTCACGGTAGAGTCATGGTGGGACCGGGCCCCGCTGCCAGCGCAGCCGCGGGTAAGTGTGGTCGCCAGCCTCCCGCAGAAGCTGCCGAGCCGCCCCCTGCCTGCTTCAGCCTGCCCCGGGCTCGGATAGGTTCAGGATGCTGGACCCGAGTCACACAGCCAGGAGCGACGGGCTCCGTGGCATTGCTGGTTGAGGCCGTTTCTGCCTCGGTCCGTGTCCCCGCACCTCTGCAGGTCGACTGATAAAATGTGCACCGTCTGGAGGTTGATTGATAAAATGTGGGCTGAGGCTTAAGGTGTTGTGGACCCTGGTATCTGTGACGGGCGTGCAGCCCTACCTAGCTCCTCGGAATGCCCCACCCCCCATGTCGCCTTCAAGATTCATATGGTGTCCCCTATGCATAGGGTGTAGTTCTGTACACCGTCCTAGGTGCTACTTACTCGTAGGTTAAAATAATATTGCTTTCAAATCCTGGCTTTGCTGCCTATTCGTGGGTAAGTTTAAGCATGTCATTTACCCTCCCGAACAGCAAAATACCTCATAGGATCGTTGTGTTATTGTAAACAGCCTAGTAGAGAGCTTGGCATCAAGATGACACCGTTGGTGTTATATTTATTTGAAAGCAAGCCTACTATGCTATGACTTTATCAAAGCCCAAATGGCTACAGGAAAGTATCTTATTTTAGGACTATAAAAGGGGCTGGTTAAAATCTCAAGTTAAGTTTCTGGTGTTCATTCATGCCCATGTTTTGCAGAAGAACGATGGAGAAAGCTCCAGGAGTACCTGGCAGCCAAGGGAAAGCTGAAGGACCCAAACACCAAGTGAGTTTACTACTCTATAGTTTTGTTTTGTTGCCCTGGTTGCTACTAGCAATGAGCAGTACCACCCCTTTTTCCGGTCTGTTTAACCTGCATGATGATCCTGTAATAACAAAAGAAATATTTCAGTCCAGGCATGACCAAAGAAAAAAAACCTGAGTCAGAGGCTGGTGGCTCATACCTTTATTCCCAGCAGTTGGGAGGCAGAGGCAGCAGATTTCAGTGAGCTCAAGGCCAGTCTGGTCTACAAATCGAGTTCCAGGACAGTTGGGAACACAGAGAAACCCTGTCTGGAAAAAAAAAGAAAAGAAAGAAACCTGGGCAGTGTCTTGTCTGTTGGCAGAGATGTAAGCATTGTTCTTTCCTAACAGCAAAGGAAGAAAGGCTCTACAGTATTACCTACAGCACTGGAAGCTTTCCTAGATCCTTCCTTTTTCTGGGAAAATTGGTTTCCAGCAAAGCAGTTTTTGACCAAAGAGGAAACTAGTTCCAGTGTTTGCTTACTAAAGCAAGAGTATTGGTTGTAGTCAGTCCACAATAGTGGCGCACCAACCTGGTGATGTCCTTTGATGTCCTCTTGACATATATTTGGGGTGGACAGAACATAACCCCTTTACCCTTTCCTCTTGTTGGCACTGCACCATCTTGCTTAGCATAGGTTTATTTTCCTCTATTTGGGTAACTCAGGTGTGTGTGTGTGTGTGTGTGTGTATGTGTGTGTGTGTGTGTCAGAGGGGAGTGTTGGGTGTCTTCCCCTATTCCCTTAAGACAGCATCTCCCAATGTCTGCAGTTCACTGTTTAAGTTAAGCAGGCTGGCCAGCACTCTCCTATGATCCACTCATCTGCACCGCTTGTACCCAGGGTTATAGGCACACTCACCATGCCTGATTTTTATATGGCTGCTGGAGATCTGAACTACGGTCCCCATGAGCATAGCAATGCTCTTACCCCTGAGCTATCTTCCTAGCCTGGGTGATTTTACCTTGGATTTTTCCTCGCCTCTACTTTCTTGATTAAATAAACCCAAGTCATTTTCTCAACAAATATTTAGTATCTATAATGTCTCTCCCTTTTCCTCCCCTCCTTCTGTTTCTTCTTCCTCCTTCCTCCTTCCTCTCTCCTCCTCCCCTTCCCTCTCCCATGAATGGAACCCAGGCCTGTCATATGCTATGCAACAAGCTGTTCTGCCATACATTCCCCAGGCCTGTCAATCCCTCAACACAGAAAGATGCAGAACTTGCTAAAGCAATCTCTGCCCTCCACAGCTTATGCTCATCAGTCTCTGTTTGACTTGGGTTTGGGTCTGTGGATACTAAGTCTTCTCAGTTCTGCTCTGTTCTATCTTTTGTTTCACTGGTCAGATTTCAACTTCATGTTGCACAAATACCTGAATCTGAAGATGTTCCAGCCCCTTAGATGAAATGCTGTGATGCTTATATGTAACCTATACATATCCTTTTATAGACTTGAAATCATCTGCAAGTTACTTATGATTCCCAGTACAATGGAAGTGCCCTGGAAATAGTTTGGTTTAGAGAATAATAAGGAGGGAAGGTCTACATGTTCGGTATGAATGCAGTTTTGTTTTTCACATTTTTTTAAATTAAAAGTTAAAATCATAAATGTGGAATTATGATGTGGAGACTTGATTATAACAAACCCCTTTCCTCTCTGAAAAAACACTAAAGGTATATAGAACAAGGAAGTTTTTTAGCAAAGCAGTTGACCATCTTCTCTCTCATGTCTGGCCCTCAATATTCAAGAATCAATTCTCACATAAGACTTAACTATGAAGAGGCCACATATATTTCATTAATGTTATTAGAATGCTACATTTGTACATAGGATAACCTTTAAAAGTAAAGTCATGAAAGTAATTGGTAAGAGTGGTTGTGGTCTTTGGGGAGGGGAATACAGGACCAAGGAAGGGAGAATAAGGATACATCTTATTAAATAATAATTTTGATTTATTTTACTCTACCCAGACATTCTGTTGTTTAAAATCCTAATCATAATGTTTTAATCACTGTTCTTTCCTAGCATTCCTGATTCTCCTTTCTGTACCAAGGATTAATTTTATTTTCATCTTTCACAGGCCTTATCTAAAAGCCAAGAATAACTGCCCCAAACCACCACCTTCCAAATATGTAAGTAAACAATCCTATAAGAAGGCTGCTTTATGATTTAACATTCAACCCAGAATGCTT